TCCAACTAAAATTTAGACATCCTTGTGCGGTTGGAAATTGATTTGTTTTCACTCCTTTTGATCTTTCGTTGCATCCATTTGACCTCTAGCATTCTTGAATCTTCATCGTGAGTTTCGACACAACTTTTGTGTATTTGCACTTTAACCCTCAAGCTTTGGATCTTTCCATTTTTTCGCCAATTTTTGCATTCTTTTCTCCAATTCTTCATCATCCATCGAGTTTCACCTAATAACACATTATATCATAAATTAGGCTATAATCTCATTAAAAGAACCACCAAATGTCATAATTTGGAGCCCGAATAAGTGTATAAAATACACTTATCAATTACTATATGTAAATTACGTTTTAACTTGTTTATTTCATGGATTAAAGTGGACCAATGACTTTAGTGTTTTGTTTAAATGTTAACTTTGTAAAAGCAATTAAATTAGTTTCTGTTTGGGAATTTCAGATTCTGCCTTTAATTTGAAAAATGGTATAACTTAGGCTGCGGTACATGTTTTTGAGGGAAATCAGTTTGGTATGAAAGATCTACGAGTCTTCTAACAATGGCCTTTGGAATTTCCTCGAAATATTATCTAGGGAAAAAGTTATGCCCGTTTTAGTAAGCTGCGTCGGAACAGTTTCGAGTTTTCTGTCCAACTCCGTTGAAAAATATTTTCGTGCTTTAAATGTTATTATCGAGACCCAAAATTCTTATATGTGGTTCCTACATGAATGAAAATGCCTCTATTAAAATTTCATAAGTTTTCGGCGACGCTTGCTAGGTCAAATAATTTTTTTATCTTTCTGCTACTACGCTATGGTTACTGTTGAGTTTCTTCCGAATGTTTTACAAAAATCAAATTTTACCGTAATTGTCTAAGTCTATATAGGAAATTATCTTCCATCATATTTTATAATATATTTTAAACTTCAATTTTCCTGTATTTGAAATATATTTTGATTGAAGTAAAGAACTAAATTTAAGAAGATTTTTTAACGCTTCGAGTTCCTAAAATTTGGGGCGTTACATCTTATCAATTTTATTAGTCCAAATAATAGCTGAGGTGAGTGTGACATTTGATTGATTACTAACTTTAATTCTATTAAGAACAAAGGGAGAAGTTAATGAAAAATGAGGAATAATGGTTTAGCTAAAAAATAAAATATAAATAATGTTATTGGACTTGCAAAAAAAAATATCTGCTCTCTATCTTCACTTACCTCAAAATATTCTTTATAATAAAGAAGATTCTTTTTAAAATAATATTAAATTGCATAACCCTCCCCCGATGTTAATGACAATTTCAAGTACGCTCTCTTTTAAAAATTATAATTGTATTCTTTATCGAAATATAAATGAACGGTATGAATAAATATTCTTTCTAGTATATATTTTTGATCAATTTTAGTTTGGTTAATTTTTCGATGGGGAATAATTCTTTTATGATTAAGAATGAAATCACTATGTAGAGAAGAATTTTTGTTCTAAGAAAAAATAAAATAAAAAAGTAGACCAATATGAAAATAAGGATAATTCCAAAGTTTCTGTGACGTTTCTACAATTTTGTAAGTTTCCCTCGGAATAAATATTGGCTACATTTCCAATTTCCAAGCAAGAAAAATCCTCGCTCACTCACTTCAGAAATGGGAATTCTAGCCTTAATTTCTCCTCCAAAACCAATCTTTCTTCATAAATCCAAACAAACCCACCTCTCACCCCCCAAATCCCACGCATTTGAACCCAAAGAAACAATTGCAAGACGCATAAAACTATCCATTTTTCAGAACTCAAGAACTATAGCCGTTTTATTTGGAGCTGCTGGGATTGCCTTAACCACTATCGTGGGACCCACAGCTGCTGCCGAGTCACCATTGTTCAATGAGCCCGCCAATGCTCTCTCTTTACCCACCTGGGCTATTCACGTTTCTAGTGTTGTTGAATGGTACGATGCTATACGTATGTGAATTTTTTATATATATAATCTGATTGTAGTACCAAGGTCTCAGTTTCACACTGCCAAACGTGGAACCTAAATGTCTATTAATGGTCTTGCTGTGTTGTTTAAAAAATGGGTTTTGATTAGTTTATTTTTATCCAAGGATTACTGCAATGGCTTTGGTTTGGCAATATGGGGAGAAATCTGGATTTGAATCTTGGAAGGGTCTCTCTTGGGGTATGGTGAGTAATGCTTCTCTTTCTCTGAAATCTTTCAGGGTTGTGAAGCTATGGTGGTGTTGAATGTATTTTGCGCTTGTTGGACACAAAAGTGAAAATTGCAGTTCTTAATCTTTAGGCCTTCATTTCCATTAGAAAGATTGCGTATATAATTCTAAAGTAGTTGGTTTCAGGATGCATGATAATGAATGTGCTGAATGGAAATATCTATGGTAATATGATTATTCCGTATTTTGTTGACAAGAAAGTAAACTAATAGAGAGAATTGCCTAGTTCATTTCACGTACTCTCGGCCGAACTTTCCCTTGAATTTGGAAATCGCTATTGCTTTGCTTGTTGCAAATATAAGTCCACATATTCATCACACCAGAGGTTAGATCATTCCCTGGGAGTCACTGTGGTGAGGACTTGACCGTAAACTTCAGGGTCTCGTGGAATTAGTCGAAGTGCGCTCAAGTTGGTCTGGACACCCACGATTATCAAACAAAAAAAAAAAAAGAGTTTAGATAATTTTTTGGTAAGAGTCCCTAGCGATTGCAACATTACACTCCTATCTTGGCTCTTTCAGCCTTTTTCTGGTATAGGTTAAGATCTAATTTTAATTCCAAATCAAAGTCAGCAATTAATTTTAACCACACATTTCATTAGATTCCTAACTTTTCAATTACATATTTCATGAACTTCTATCAAAATCTAATAAAAATCTAATTTTAATCTACATCAAACACAGCTAAGTAAACTTCTTGATATTTTTGCTTCACATGCTTGCATATTTTCCAGTAATTCAGCGTGGTAGGTAAATATTTGAAGTCTTTTCTCCCATGTATTAGAATTTGAAAAGTGCATTTGTCTAGGTACCCTTGCTGGGTGGAGCATTTTGCGCTTGTACATGGCATTTCTTTTACAATTCAGAGGCCCTTGAGGTAAGAAGATTCAATATTACTAGTTAGGCTACTGTTTGGCAACCAATTTATAAATGTTATAAATTGAGTCAAAGTCAAATATTAATTTCAACTGCACATTCGAAACTACTAATTTATTATCCACGCTTTTTGTGGAACCCACTACTTGCTATTGAGTATTATTTTCTAGATTAGGATATGTGTCATTCAACTAAACGGTTCTCTATTTTTGGAAGCAAAACGAAGAAAACAAAATAAAATACTTGATCAAAAGTCAGAATGTGAAAGTCTGCATAACGTGTGTGATGTCTGCCAAAATTAATTGCAAAAATTTGTGAAACATCAGTCTTGACTAGATTCTACGAATGTGGAGAAGAAGCCCAAAAAGAGAATGTCACTCATCTCTCACTGTGCATATACTTATTGACATTGGATTTTGTAAAGCAACCTTTCAGACTGAATTAGTCAGTTTTAGCAACCCAAAAAAAATGGTGATATGGTGGCTAATTAAAAAATGACAGTTAAAAAAGGACATTCAATGTATTATATTTATGTGGCAATCATGCAGGGTCTCAGTAAATACGCTGTGTTCTAATTACCATGAGTGAGTGAGATTTTGGATAGTGCTCACCTTGGTAGAGACTTGTCTTGTCATTTGGTTCATTCGGTGAAATTAAGGTAGTTATTTTATGGTTTCCCGATGGTGGGCTGCAGATTTTGCTTTTCTGATACGCGTTTGACAGGTTCTTGGATTTTTTGTTGGCATTGTCCTCTTTAACATTGGATAACATTCCTCATGTTGGAGACCTGGCTGACCTGGATGTCTTGGGAGAGACTGAATTTTCATAATCAGTGATGGTTGCCTTCTTGTACTTCTTAAACTCTGATTGAACATTAGGATTCTTTAGCCTCATCACTGGATGAACTCTGAAAAAAATGTGATGTTTTGACCTACTTAACCAAGAGGGTGGTTAATTGGTGTTTTATGCGAAATTTAAATTAAGCCCTTGTTTGAGCCCCATTTGAGGGAAAAATATATTTTGAAATAGTGATTTTTTTCCGAGGTTAAAAAATAAGAATTTTTTTTGATTCACATGTAAAGTTATTTTATTGACGAATGTGTCGTTGAAAATAAGTTTTGAAAAAATAGGGATCAAACAAGAGCTAAATAAAAATAACCTACAATACATCACAAATTATCTAGTCTAGATGTATAAAAATCAACTTTGTAGTACAGCAATCACATAAACAAGTATTTAAATACATAAAAAGTAAATAACACCAAGAATTGTTTACGGAGGAAAAATCATTGAGAACTCTTCAAGAGAAAAAACTTTTGGGTACCCTGTGCCATCAAATGATCCACTATGAAAAGATTGAACTTAAGATCTGGTCCAAACATAACTAAACTTTAATAGACTCTAATAGTCAATCTGTAATTACCCGAAAAACTCTTCAGTTGTGTGTTCCAGCACTTGCTCTAGAACCTCTGGATGGATATCCAAAAACAAACTCATTTTTCCTTAACTGGAACTTTGATCACGTCTCATATCCATCAGAACTATGAAGGCTATTTGGTAGAGGATTTTGTTGTATTTTGGTTTTTGAATGTGGATGATGATTTTTGATAATAATTTGTTTCTTCTTCACTAAGATCTTCTCTTTTATAAACTGCTAGGTGATTTGAGAGTGTTTAAAGGTTGAAATAAGTAAAATAGGGATTCCCCCGCTTGAACAGGCGCCCGAGTGCCCACTTGACTCTCATCAAGCACAGTTGGTTCTGGAAATTGTTCTCGAGCACCCTCTTAATGTTTATCGAGCACATTGGGCTTAAGCACCTTCTGGACATTCATCGAACACGTGTGACTAATTTCCATGATTTTTTTATGACATTGTCAACAAACTACTAACGCCGGTCGATACAACCTCAATTACAACTCGATTTAATGATATTTGGACAAGGAACTTGCTATTAGTTGGTGACTTGAACTTATTTAATGACCTTGAGCTTGTCCTTCATTTCAGGTCTAATATAGGTTCGCGTTTTCTAAGATTGAAAATTAGGATTCGTTGGCCTCATAACTGAATGAGCTAGATAATTGTTGGCTGGTGACTTAAACTTATTAGGTAAACTAGAGCTTGTCTTTCATGTCAGAACTAATAAAGGTTGACCTTCTCTGAGATTTACATGTCTTGCCTCGTCACGTTGGTAAGGCATGCCATAATACAACTTGGGCTTGTGTATAACATTTGCCCCCCTTTTACATTATTATTAGGACTCTTGGCATTTTCTTAAATTAATGACACTTGTGAAGTTGTTTCCTCGGGCAACAGAAAGGTAGGTCCATTGAGAATGGCACATTGGAGCTAGTAAATGTGCCAAAGGGAAATAATTCAGTCGGTTGTTACTTGTACATTAGTTTTTATACTAACTGGCATATTGACCTATTGATAGATGTAAAGCAAGATTAGTTATTAAGTGCTTCACAGAGATCTCTAAAATTAACTATAAGATTTTTGCTACAATCACTAAGGTGAGTGTAATACACCTTTTACTTTCCCTGGCAGAATCCTTGGACTGGCCTTTGAATTAAATATATTTGAAGATGAGCTGTACACGAGCTTGCCTTTGGGAATTTCTGAAATATATGGTGAAGGCTTTATATGGTCTAAATCAGTTACCAATGGGTTGATGTGATTGGTTTACTAAGTCAAAAAAGGAGCTGGAATATACTCAAAGCTAATTAGACTCTAATTGTTCTTCAAGCACTCAAGAGATGGAAGTATCGTCAATCTTATGCAAACTTGGGTTTCTAAAGAACCTCTTGATTAAGGAGTTTGAGATTAAGGACAGCGGCCAACTAAGTTATTTCTTAGGCTTGGAAATGGTACAATAGAAAACGAGTATATTTGTTTTTTCTCAAAAGAAGTATACCTGGATCACCTAAAGGAAACTAGAAGCTTAGGTTGTATACCCGTTTGACAGTCCCATTGATTCTATTCACAATATAGGAGACATGTTGAGAGGAAATATGGTGCATCCTCAAATTTAGTTGGGATATTAATCTACTTGTTTCACTTAGAGTGGTGAGCAAGTTTATTCGCACTCCCTATGTGAAGGACATCTTGAGGTTACATACAGAATTTTGAGGTATTTTTATAAATGGTAGTCCATACAAAGATCTTTTATTGAGAAAAAGGAGATCACGTGCATGGGGTCTACACTATGGTGTTGGCGTATTGCATGAAGTAACTTGGTTACATGGAGAAGCAAAAACAGTCACTTGTCACGAAGAGTTCTGCTGAAGCAAAAGTTGGGACCATAACTGGAGGGATTTGTGAGATTGTGTGGTTGGATAATTTTTTAAAGAACTGTAGGTTTCCGGTTGCTTTTGTAAGTCATATTAAACTATAATATAAAGTTCCCATTAGTATTGCTCGTAACTCAGTTAGGCAAGGCTGAACAGAGCACATTAAGATCGATTGGAAGTATTTACATGCCTTTTGTGGTCATTGACCACTGATCAGCGGCTAGCAGACATTTGCCACGGGACTGCATTGGGCTAGAATTCTGGACTTAAGTTAGCAAGCTGGGTATTACGTCTTTGGACCAGTGTTCGAAAAGGCGCCAAAATGCACCGCCTAGGCACGCCTAGGCGTGGCGTGCGAGTAAAACGCGTCGAATTGGTGAAATGCGGGTAAAAATGTGTTTCTGTTCGAAAATGCGCCGCCTAAGCGCGCATATGCGCGCCTAGGCGTGGCATTTTGGCAAAATGCCGCGCATATGCGCGCCTAGGCGATTTTACATCTGTTTTTTTTTATATATTAAAAAATCTATTTTTTTATATAAAAATATATTTAATGCCTTAAAAATACGAAACGCATTATGACGCTTATTCTTCGCATTGACACACCTAAACTTGTGATTCTTGATTCTCGACCTCGACGCATCGCAACGCAACGCATTACGTCTTTTAGAACACTGTTTTGGACTAGCTTGAGGGAGAGTGGAAAATCTTGTGTTGTTGTAGACCTAAGATTCGTTGAAAATATTTTTGTCCCAAATTTAAATTAGTACTGCAATGTAACTAGAACTCGATGTGTTAATAGATTGTTAAGCCTCTCTAAATAGGCATTTTGTACCACGAAAATTATGTAGATTGAATGACAATTAACTTTATTCCATCATTTCATTTTCCTGCAAAACTCACTAGAGATAATCCGAGGATAAATATGTGAATTTCTGTTTCCATTGCTAGAGGACAGAATAAACCTGTTTTGCTTTGTATCTGTATTTTGTATTGGGCAATTCTATGCACCATTGAAGTTTTTTTCTTGAACTGGAGATTGTGTGGACAAAAATCTTGGAGGATATATACAGGTTCTGCTCCTGTGTCCATCCTTTAGAGTTGGGAGTCTGAAAGAAAAAAAGACCGAAATTCATATGGTTGAAAATAATTCTATGAAACCTCTTTTTAGTACCGATATAGTCATTGGAATTTTTTCAGAATTATATTTACCCCTAACAGAAATATCGGCACAAATCTAAATAAGAATAAAAGTTACAGATTCCTATATCTATTTTATGTATTGAAAAAAAAAGGAACTTAGGCTAAAGCACTTCTTTAATACAAATTTTTTAAAGATGAGTAAATTAAGGAAATTGGAAGCGAAGCACTTCTTTCTTCTTTGGTTTATCTATTTCTGGATCTGGAATTGATTTTACCTGTTGCTTACAGCAATTGTAGAGAATATTTTAAACATGAACATTGTCAAGAACCAGTGACGTCATTGAATGGGAGGTTGTTGGTCGAACAATTGTTTTATTATTTATGATGATACTCTGCTGCATTGTCTTTTAATTTGTCGAATCGGGAAAAAATGAGAAGCATAGTTCTACTTTTCTTCTTCAGCAATGGACATTATATCAATCATTAAATGCTGTAAAATAGGAAGCTGAAGCTTGATTCAAATGGATCAAGTCAGATTATTAAACCAAACAATTACTTTGCCTATGATTTCTAGGTCTTGGTAGCTCTTCAAGCAGCTTTGACAGTAATTGGTAATGCAACAATGTGCATTGCTGCATTTCGTATCTACACATCTTCACAGGAACGCTCCAAAAACTCATGATCTGTTCCGCTTGGGAACTGAATTGAAGCTCCTTGAAGACTTTGTCCCATTGGTAATTCTCCCTTTGCAGTAATCTAGCTCGTATGCGGAATTCAGCTAAACTGATCAGTTATGTTTCTCGCTCTCTTGCAGGAACAATTGAATGCATACTATTCTATGGAGGCACAACGAGAGTTCCTATTCGAAGGGAACAATACTGGGAGTCATATTCTCCTTGTGAATGGTTGAGAAGTTCTTGACAGTAAAGTGCCAGTAAAGCTTAAGCTGTACCTACACTCGACAAAGTTCAACCTCTATGGTGGCCGGTTAGTCTATCAAGTGGTTTGACTAAGGCTCTCTGATTACTATATTATATTGAATTTTGGTACAGTTTTAATTATTTATCGGATCGCAACTTATTTAAGACCTCGTTACTTGTATTCTTGATTATTATGTGTCATCAAAGACTTTATCCCTTGTATTCTTGATAATTACACGTTTGAAAATACAGGATGCTGTGTTATAGTGGCACATTTTGTCTTCTCTGTACATTGTATGTCAATTATGTTCATAATACTCTCTGGAAAAATTTACGTAGACTATGATTATTTGTTTGACAATTGCTCTACATGTATGTGATCCAACTGACTATATTGGAATTTGGAAGTGCTTGAGCTTTCCCAATATGATGTGAACTTTGTGATCAACATTTCTTATTAAATGCAATGATGGGGTTTTTTGACATGTGTTGTGTAGGGGATAGATATGAAGAAATATATATATATGGACCTGACCCAATATGTATACATGGACCTGACCCATCGGCCAACACACTTTTAGTAGCATATTTGGTAGGATAGATAAGACTATGGTCGACAGTATGAAATGCCGAAAAAAAGTTGAAGTAACATGCATAGTGTAGGTCAATGCATTGGGGGACAGTAGCATCTTTTATTGGTTAATTTTATTCTATGATACTTGGAGTAAATTCAAATGATATTATGATCCTGAGGCCATTATTTTGACCTTGTGTAGTGCCTTTTTAGGGACCAGTGTTGGATAGTTCTTGAAATACACCTAATAATCAATTTATACTGAATATTTAATAGAATTCCTTGGTTTTGTAGTTGACTTGCTACTCTATTATTTATTAAAAGTCAGGATTTATACTCTTGAATTTAAAGGTATTTTTTGATTGAGCTCATTTTGCAAGAAGATAGAAAGATTTATTTACTTTTAAAATTATGAATAGTTATTTATCACTCTTGAAGAAAACAAAGAAAATGAAAATCTTGCTTGTTATACAGTCTAATAAACCTATGTTTAATGAATTACTGGAAAATTTCTTTTTTTACTTACTCATTTTCAACTACATTCATACAATAAAATATTTTGCATATAACTCAAAATATTTTCTTACTTTTTAAGCATACATTTTTTAAAAAATCAAAATTCAAAACATTATTTTTTTAAATAATGACCATCAAATAGGGGCTTAATATTGCTCATCGGATATGCACTTTATTTTTATTTATTTTTTGTTGATGTAGAAACTTGCAGTCGCTACCCCCCGCAGAACCCGAACCACCTCGAAGGGGTGAAGGCTTGATCACTGTGAGTGCGCACTAGGTAAACATCAATCCTTGTGTAGTAGCTCGCAAATCACACAAGAGAGGTAAAACGTATTAGACAAACCCGATGCAATGGACTCAATCGAGAAAGTGTTTACACCTAATTTTCCTAATTTTAATCACAAAAGGCACTGCACAAGGTCAAAACTTTTTCCTATTTTTTAATCACGCATTCCAATGGTTTTTCCAAAAAAAAAAAAATCCACCAAATAGGGGCCAAGTAAATTGAATATTAAAATATATAATTGGACTAATTTACAATATCTAAATCAAACTTATGTTTGCCAACAATTATTTCAAACTTTTTTTTTACACTTTCATTTTAACCATTTTTTCACTGCACATTTTTCAAAAAATCACTATTCATATTTCCATTTTATCCAAATAATGGTTGTTATGGCTATTATTTTGAAAAAATGAAGTTTTAAATAGTAATTTTTTTGGATAATGTATGGTTAAAAAGTAAAAAAAAAAAAAATTTTGAATTTATTGTAAAATATTTTATTTTGTAAACGTGATTGAAAATAAATGAGAATTAAGAAATTTTGTTTTAAAGGGAGACACACACAAGCTAAATATTGAGCTTGAAAATGAAATAATTAAGGCCCCCATTGGACATCTATTATTTGAAAAAAAAAATTCTATATATTTATTTTCAAACACACATTCACATAATAAACTACATATANTCCTCGAGCCAACAGCCTTAGACTTTCCGGAAAGTTATCTTTTGTTGATTTTGCTGCCTCATTATTGATTATATTAAAGAAAAACCTTAAAAGCATATTGGAAACTATTATTATTTTTTTCTATTTTTTAATTATTATTTCCACATATTTCATCAAAGGCATTATTGCTTGTTTGTGTTTGTCCTAATCTAAAATTTATTGAATGCTTGGTCGAGTGGATTTATTAATATATTGGTTATGGATTTATTCGATTCTTGATTTCGAGTTTGATAAGCACTAATAGCATCTTCAAAAGGCTCTTTAAAGTGCACTATTTTAAAGATTCAGTCATTAAAATTATGCTCTATAATATTTTAAAATAGAAATTCATCATCTATAATAAAATGCATTCAAAATATTTCAATTTTCAATGCCCCACATATTGGCCCAATTAAATAATATTATACAAAGAAAATGAAGAAAAATAATATATAATTTGGAGGAAAACCAGGGAAAATAAAATATGGAAAAAATAATAAATACATATTGCGAGTAGTAAATTAAGTAACAAATATGAAGAGACTATTGGAATATCTAAAAATTTTACTCTCTAATTTTACAGATGCTTTCTAACTTGCAAAATATATTCTATAAAATTAGAATTTCTTGAAGGTGCTCTAAGAAAATTATTTAGGACTTGTTTGAGTGGCTTTTAAAAAATTAAAAGCAGCTTCTGAGACTAAGAAGTATATTTGAATATGTTTGAATCATTTTTTGAAAATATTTTGTTTGACTAGAAAATTTTTAGAGGAAGCTAAATTAAAATAACTCTCTCAAAAGCTCTTCCACAAAAAGCGGAAACCCTGTAAAAAAATGCCAAAACTATAGAAATATTATTAATAAATTAAGAAAAAAAAACCCAAAAAAAAAAAACAATAATAATAATTCTGACCTGTTAATTCTTGTACATACAAGACGAGAATTATAGTTACACAAATTTGCCAGATAATTTGATATTCCCTTTCTTAATGCAACATAACAAGAAAAGTCAATAGAAACAGATGAGGCAGGACAAGAAGAAAATAAATAATTTCTAGTGGACAATAAAAAAAATTATGATTACATCGACTAAAAGAAAAGACCTCGTGAAAGTCTATACAGGTTTTCACCACAAGAAGTCGATCAATGCATGGTGTTCTTCGACTCATCCTTATTAAAAAGATCATGCTTAGAAAATCTGTTTTGAAACTCAGACATTAAGGCAAGATTTTCTTGATGCAGAAGAGTAGCCTTTTTCCTCAACTTTTCATTTTCTTCTATTATACTTATATTCTCCATGTAAAGCTTCAAGTTCTGAAGCTTCATATCCTTGTCAATCTTCTCTTTGCGTTGCTTCCTTCTGCAACACATATCATGTTCGTGCATTAATATAACGAATGAAGAAGGAAGTCTGTTTTATGCAAGAACGGAATTAGTTTACCTTGTAAGGTTGTGTATGCGAAAGAACAAGAAAGAAGTATATATTCCAAATGAAAAGGGAATGTTTTTTTCTATACATGAGCACGATATGCAAAAGAACAAGAAAGAAGTATACCGAATGAAAATTAATGGATGTTTGTTTTATACACGAGCGTTGTTAGTTTACCTTGCGAGGTTGTGTATGCGAACCCCAGACCGCTTAGGTCGTTTTTGCGAAGAAACTTGAAGATTTTGTGATGGTATCCAATCTGTGGGACAAATACACATTCTTGGAAGTTTTTTGTGTACAATTTTACAATGAAACAAGGAAATTTTGTGTGCTTTGCTCTCTGTGATATGCTTAAATGGGAGGTGTGTGATGAATTTTTTGTGGGGTGCTGAGATCCAATATATAGGTGGCTTTGTTAGCTTTAAATGTGTCATGTGTAACCATGTGGTGGCCTGGGGGTGGGGTTGGGTGGGTGACTAATTTCAAGTTTGATAATGATGACAAGAGAAAGTCATGATTACTAAGAGCAGAAACCCAATGCCATGAATAAAAAGCCTAAGAACAAGGAAAGGTTCTTCTTATTCTTGCCTGAAATTTCACAAGCTTTGGTAAAATAAGTGCTTATTTTAACTTATGCGTCTACATGTTAAAAAAATAAAAGATATTTTCATTTATTGGGAGTTTCTTAACACAAATGCATGAAAATAATTCATGTAATCGAAATAAGACTGAATTTGTTACTATCGTAGTCCAAGTGAATTAACTAATCAATTTCTGCCATAGAAAGGAATGGAATGCAAAAGTAGTGTTGGACTGATACTACTTTTGTCCTTTTTTGCTGTTTGTTGTAATTGAATGGCCTTTTTGTATTCATCCATATTAATCAACTTTAGGAAAAATAAGTTGAATAAGTAGTGTATTCATAATTTTTTGTGTTGGATAGTGAAGTGATGTGGGGCTATATCTATGCTACAAATTTTGGGACCCTGCATTGAATGTCTCAGTACAATACAGTTGTGTGATAAGAAGGAATCTACTAAGGCCTAATGATTTGTGGGGGCTTGTTATATGAACTTCTTGGTGAGTGATTACACGAAATTTTACCATTTTACGGGAAAAAGAAAAAGATTATTGTGTCTATGTTTTGGTTTTCTACTGATTGGGTGAAGGAAGTTTGTTGGTTGAATTGTTGAATTTCGGGACTCGGAAGTATTCATTTTCTCGTTATAACTCAACCATTAAGTTGAGTTGATCGAGTGAAAGCTGGATCAACTCAAATGTTGCATTGAAGTATCAGTACTTATACGTGTACTTACTGTAAAACGAATATAAGTTTGGTTGAACTAGTTTGTGGACATGAGCCAAGCTGCCTTGATCCATTGCTACCCCTACAATTGGCCAATCAGTGAATGTTGGCATAGGTTAATACATTCCTGATAGACGTTTGGATCTACTGTGAAAGCTATAAAATAACCCTTCCTTTGTGGTAAATTTTCTAAGCCAGCTACTCTCCAATTTGCGTCTATGCACTCTGTCCCTGCTACAGCGTCTGTTGTAATATTATTGCAATATATAATGATAAATGATTTGGAGCGATCAAACGTTAACTAAGTGCGAAAATAACCGAAAGAAAAAAATGGAGAATACAGAAAATTGATCTGGGCTTTCGAACTTTGATTATGATTTGCAGAAGAAATGAATAATTGTTACATCAACTATTCATTATCATGTTCAAACCTTTTTTGGGTGGATTCAATGTTTCTGGTTTTTTTCTTATTCTTCATCATTTTCCACATCATCAGCATATGTTCGTTGGGCGTGGGTTGAGATAGGGTCAGGAGGCTTGGTCGGGTGGGTAAATAGATAAGATTGGCACGACTCAAGTGACTATCCGCCGTGGATGGTGATGAGGGGGACATAGGATCTAGGATTTCAAAGAGAGGTTTTCACCAATCTGGTACGAAGTTAATGGATGGGATCAATAGTAACATATCAAGAGAAAAGGAAATGATGTTGGTAAAAGGTAAACAAAACAAGTGAGATAGGGAAAGCTAGCTTGGAACAAAGAATCCCTATTCACTAGGTTTTAACTTAAAAGTTCGAAAAGGGAGAAGGGCAATTACTTATTCTTAAAACCAGTGTTCTTAAGATAAAAAAATCGGACGAAAAAGGGGAGAAAGCAGGCCGTTCCTGATTTCCCCGTAGTTGGAACCTCCAAAACCACAAGAATGAAAATTAGTTAGAATGAAAATTCTCAAGCTTTCTCTCTCTGTATCCACTGCAGCAGTGGCTCCACATGGTCTAAACATCACACTGTGGTTTGCTTGCTCTCTGATAAGTCGAGCCTCGATCAGTGAAAGCTCCAAGTCTCAAAATGAAGCAAATTTCACACCAGGAACAATCTTATACTATATTATGGAAAAATCGAATTCATGTGGCCGAACTAAAATATCAAATTTGAAGGTATGATCTGTGCTTTTCAATAATAAAAGGCCTCTTCCTAACATAAGGATAGTGTAAATCTGCTGCAAATTTAGTTGCCATCTACAACATTCATTGTTTCTACACTCTAAATCATTGATCGGGAAGACTTCTTCGAGTTAGTTGATGACACTAATGATCCAACAAAAATCTCCTTAATTTGCCGAAAAAAGGAACCATAAAAATAAACACAATGCATTCAATAATCTCTCATAAGAAGGCATCATCATGAAAAAAGTTCAATGGCGAATGAGATAGAACAAAATCATTTACCAGAGTTTCCCTTGGCTGGCTACAACTCGAATGAAGTTTGAACATGTTTTTACTTGCACAAGATGTTAAGTTGTGGAGCTTACTTATTGTCGTCGTATGAAATTCGTATGCGGACATAGGCATATCGACCTTGTAATTTGATTAAGAACAATATAGAAATTTCACATTTTTAATTTGTACTTTGTGCTGATTTTTCTTATAAATAGGGAGCTACCATCGGGATTTTGTATTACCATCATCAAAACGGGAGGGGGTTATACAAAATAGGGTGCATGGGATTTCTTTCATAAACTTTTTTCATCATAATGAATTACTAGGGTCATGGAAAAGAACGTAATCTCATATTAAGACAGACTTGCATAAATCTTGCGTATCCTTGTATATCTATTTTCTTTTCACGATTTTATTGCTTTTGATGGTATAGAATTGGGGTTTCTAACATATGCTGATGGATTCTCCTTAATCTTCTCATATTTAAGAATCCAAAAAGTTTAAAGAGTTTGCCTACAAAATAGAAATGTCTTTCTAAGTAATATTATTAATATTTACCTTAACATTTTTACAAACAAAGTTTAAATAGAATAAAAGTTTTAAAATCAGCAAGAGACAGCTGCGCCATGCCAAATCCGCCACTGTAAAGGTTTATAAAAGAATCTTGGTGTCAAATACTTACAAGAAGACAACGACACGCCAAAATTTCTATTGAATGCCCATTTTTCAAGTTTGGTTTCATGAAAATAAGCTAATATTTCTAAATATTAATCACAATGTTGTAGACAAGTATCCATTTGAACATGTTATATTAACATGAAAAAACATATTCTCTTTCAACATTTATAACATGTTTCGTACGTCAAATTAAATATAACCTCACAATGTTAAGATAACTCCAAAATGTCTGTCGATTATTAATTATAAATTTGAATTTATCCACACTAGCATGTGAGCTATACAATACAAAGGAAAGAAGCTTTTTAGATCGATTGTACTAAGCTTTTTAAGAATTAAAAACATGAATTCTATATCATCAAGAGCAATAAAATCTCAAATAATAAAAATATAAAAGAGCACAAAACATTAATAGAGGTTCGTTTTACTGTGAGACTACATTCTTATTAATAGAGTTTCGTTTCAATGTGAGACTACATTCTTGTACGTTGCTACAGTAATTCACTATGATGAAAAGAAGTTTACAAGGCAAGAAAAATTGCATACCCAATTTTCTCTAACATCTCTCTCTCTCTCTTTGATACAAATTCCTAATGATGATTCCCTATTTATAAGAAAAATTAAGACAAAATCGAAGTTCCAAATGTGACGTTCCTAAACTGAGCTAGAATTCAATCTTTGTCGAGTTTGAGGCAACTCAAATATTGTGTATAATGCCTATAATATGTGTAGCATGTAGTATCTTCATTAAGCAAAATTTCAACTTTATTTTTATTTTTAAATGGAGTCAACTATTGTCAAATTCAATATATCAAACAATCAATAGTTAAAAAATAGTTAAATATATTAGCTAGTTGGCACCCCATCCACATACATAGAAACATTTGCACCTATCAACTTAAAGTTTAATTATTGTTTAGTGAACTAATCAACCAATTGGATGCCTTTTGCTGCTGAACTAATGGTACTTATAATAATTAGCAAAGTATTGGATTGGATGTAGAGCTTGAGATACTTAGGGTCCGTTTGGCAAAACATTAATTTTTGCTTTTACTTTCAGTTGAAGAATTTAGTGAGAAAATTATTTTAGGCCAATCTTCTCTAAAAATTCTTCCAATCCAACAAAGTATTTTAAGAAAACAATTCAAACATATTCAAAAGCAGTTTCTTAGTCTCATAAGCGACCCTTGACTTTTTAGAAGTTCAGCCAAACAAGTCCTCATAACATGCTTGATACTTTCGACTCGATCGCATTAAATTAAATAATCAATCAATTTGATAATATGTATTTTTACTCTAAAAGCTAATATAGTACCGTTTACTTCAACGTGCTAAATAGGGACGGACCCAGGAAGGAAGTTCAATGGGGGCGAAACTAAAAAATCTTGAAAAAAAAATCTAAAAATCTGAAGAAAATAGGGAAATTTAAAAATTGAGTGGGGGCGGCCGCCCCCACTGGTCCTCAAGTAGGTCCACCCCTGGTGCAAAACACGAATTTTAAATTAAAGAATTTTTTTTTTCTTTCTGACCATCTAGATTTTATGCTTTTCTGGTCTATTGCAAATCAATTGCATGCAATTTAGCTTTTAATTATTCCTCTTCTCATTATAATTGTTTTGACATAAATTTATAGACTCTTGTAAGTTGGCCCTTAAAAAAAAAAAAACACTTTTCAATAAGTCTATTTGCATTTGATGGGATATGATTACCAAAGAAGTAAGGATATATATAATTTCTATAGAGACGGCGAAGGTATAAAATTCGACATGTTTATTAGGTTGGTTGACAAATTTGAATGATGATTTATAAATATCTCACACATTTTCTTAATTATATTCAGTTAATTCATCTAACC